CTGCAGGATGGGGTGGAACTGCCCCTGGGGAGTGCCGAGCCTGTGACTCTTCACGGGAGTAGAAAGCCTCATCATTTACGACCTTCTCTTGAGGAGCGGCGGGTAGTTTCAAACTGCTGACCTCATCATTAGCGACCCAACATGTAACCCACTGCTTCCCCGGGGCTCATCTCTCCACCAGAGGGCTGGGGGGCGGGGGAGGGCATGCCTCAACGAAAACCCTCACTCCTTCAGTATTACTGGAGGGAAGCCACTCCCGGTTCATTCGTTCATCCGCTGGTTTGTTCATTCCTGGAGTCCCTCATCCCGTATGGCCAACCACCTCCTGATCCCCGCTTTCCCAGCATACCCATGTGGTTCAGTCCTAATACATTGCTGATTTTGTCCTCCTTGTGTGTGGAGACCCCCAATTTGAATTTAACCAGACTCTGGGTACCGAGCGCATGGAAATCCAGGCATCTCCTGAGTCCTTCCTCCTTCGGGACTTCCCCCGCTTGGCTGTGTGTGTTGCTAAAAACCACTGTCTGCTTCTCATTGTAGTCAGTGAAGGAGGAAGGCGGGCGTGCCTACTCGGAAGGAGTAAATGGGAAAGATCCCGCCCACCAAGTAAGTGACCTGGTGGTGGGCTCCCCTGGCATTCTCTCTCTCTCTCTCTCTCTCTCTCTTCAGCCTTGTTTTCATTGCAGTGCCCAGACACAGCAGGTAGAAGGTAGAAGTCTGAACCTCCCAGGGCTCCTTCGCTCTCTGCTATGGCAACCCCTTGGCGCCAGGCATCCCTTCTTCTCTCTTTGGACAGATCCTTCCCCTCCTCCCACCCTTGGCATGAATGCCACCTCCTCAAAGAGCTCGTCCCTGCCCGCCTGCCATCGCTGGCCCTTGCTCTTTAACTTCAGGCCCTTCAGCACAAATTGCGTAGATTCATTTGGTGCTTAGCACTCTGTCTCCCCACCCTGCTTCTCCACCTACCCCACCCCATGGCATGCCGTGGATCGGGGACCCTCTGTGTCACACCACCTGGTGGCATTTCTGAAATCATGGTTCATTTCCTGGTTTTTCTCTGTTCTAAAGAACGGCATCTATCAGACTTAAGTAACTGTATAATACCTTCTTCTCAACACACTCATGCTCAGCACCCTATTTTATACTTTGTTCGCTTTTAGAGGAAAGAACATGCCTTGGTGGCATGCCCTCCGACGGCCCCCTGCTGATTTGGGCACTATAGAAACGTGCCTAAGAGCCTGTGTGTGGCCTCAACTTGCCCTGGGTCTGAATTTTGGCTTAGCCATCGTTTATCTGTGTGGCTTAAAGCAAATGGTCAAATCGCTTGGGGCCTCGGTTTCTCCATCTGAATAATGGGCTAATAGCAGTAGTACCGGGCAGAAGGGTCCTGGGTAGGGACACCAGTGTGTGTACAATGTGCACCGAGAGCAGAGGGCTCCATAAATCTCCACTGCTACTTTTGTGCTTCAAAGGAATGCCGGTGCCTTAATGGTTACACATTGGGCTGCTAACCACGAGGTGGGAAGGTCGAAAACCACCAACTGCTCTTGGGGGAAAGACAAGGCTTTCAGCTCCTATAAAGGGTTTGTCTTGGAAACCCACAGGGCCAGTTCTGCCTTGACCTACAGGGTTGCTATGAGTTGGCATCACCTCGGCGGCAGTGAGTTCAGTTTTAGGTTCATTGGTGTGCTGCTCGTAGGCGATTGCTAACTGTAAGGTCAGCAGTTCAAGTCCACCAGTCACTCCTCTGTCTGCTCCCAGAAAGATTCCCAGCTTTGGAGACCCACCAGGAATGGGGCCAATTGGCATCAGAATGGGCTTGACAGCTGTGGGTGTTTAGGAATGTTACTCACACCACACGCTCAAAATCGCTGGTGGATGACTGAATCTGCCCAGCCTTTCTTAATGATAATTAAACGTGGCTGTGTTCAGGCTGAGACTTTCAGGTATCGGTGCAGCCCTGAGCATTGGGAATAAAGCAAAGGAGAGCCCCGCTGCCCGGAGCTCACCACGCATTGGAGGGAGCCGACAAATGAGCACAGACTCCCGGGATGACTGCCCAAGAGGAAGACATATGTCCTGGAGGGAATGACGCAGGCCTGGGGAGGGAGGAGGCCCGGGATGGCACTGCCAGCGGTGGCACTGAGCCAGTACTTTCTGGGACCCTCAGGGACAGGATGGCACTCCCAGGGGTAATGGTAAGCGTGGAGGCTTGGTAGGGCAATCAGGACAGGATCTCCCAGAGTGGCTTTGAGCTGGGGCTTGCTGGGACAGCCAGGGACAAGACAGCACTCCCAGGGGCTAGCTCTGAGCTGGGACTCCATAGAAGAGATGCAGTTTCTTTCAGAGGCTCGGGAAACCCACAGGCAGAAGGAACAGCACAGGAGCCTTGCTGGGGCTGAACCATGCATGTGATCAGAGCAGACAGCATCGAGGTGGGCGGAGAAGAGAAACACATAGATAGCATGCATCAATTAGGGACCTAGTGCCCCCTCCATCAGTACCAGGTACGTGATGAAGGCTGAGGATGCTGACATAAATGGGGACTCGAACCCCCATGAAAGCTAAGAGCCTAGCCCACTGCCACAGAGTGCATTCCAATTCATAGTGATCCTACAGGACAGCGTAGAACTGCCTCCGTACGTCCCCAAGGACATCATCTTTACAGGAGCAGACAGCCTCGTCTTTCTCCGAAGGTGCAGCTGATTGGTTCGAACCACTGACCTTCGAGCATCAGGCTTCTGCATCACCGGGGTTTCTCTGGGACCCACGTGACCATCGCGTCCACTCTGAGGTTTCCAGGGCTGGCTTTCTCAAATGGATCACCAGGCGGCCCTTCAACAGTGCCTATCAGGGGACTCGAGCATCTGACTGTTTGGTTAGCTGCTGGATGAGCTGTACCACCAGGGGAAAGAAAGGCGTATCTGACTTTCCTTAAAGGATCAGCCAGTACCACCTGCACATGCCAATTGGCCTGACACACATTGCTTTTTAAATCTCAAAAGTCTACCATCTAGGGTAGCCCTCAGTCCCAGACCAACCGGGATAGCTGGCCACCCCATGTGGCACTTGGAGAGCTCAGACCTGAAGACCTCTTCAATCCTCTCAGCCACCCGCACAAGGTGAACCTTCTGTGACTGCTCCCACGGGGGCCAGGAGAGAGAGGGAGCACGTGATTTATCCTTGGTCACACAGCAGGGATGCGACAGAGAGAGGTCAGGCTGGGCCCTGGGGCAGGGCGTGGTCGTGGTCGGGTGTCCTCCCCAGCAGAGCAGAACCAAGGTCTCTAACATTCGGTGCTGCTTTCCCTGGCCCCTGCGCTCTGAGCTATTGGTGCGTCCAGGACACTGGGCCTTCGCTTTGGCTGGGACACTGGCGCCGGCCCTCAGCCAGCCATATTCGGGGCCTGTCGTCCCAGACGTGCTTCCAGGACTGCTGGTCTCAGACGATGACGGCTGCCCTCTGGCAAGGGGTCACCTGGGGAGGCGTAGGATGGGACCCTTGTCCATGTACCTGCTCCCATTTCTGAGGGTGAACTCCAGTCCCCTGTAGGAAATGCCACATCTCCCCTGTTACTACCTTGTCTACCACAACCACAACTTTGTCCTCGGACGTGTTGAGCCAGGGACAGTTCAAGACCGCAAGGACCAGAGGCTGTAAACCTGTGTCCGGTGGCCTCATCATACAGGGATGCTTTTGGGGTGGTGGTTTGCCCTGAACCAGGCTTCGGGGTCAGAACGACCTACTTCTTGAAGTTGAATATTTCCTTTACAAAACATAGTGTATTTTTGGTGAGTACAACACAACTCTGTGTTAGGCTGGGTCGACCAGAGAAACACATCCAGGTATACGCCTATATGTGTAGGAGAGAGTTTTATATCCAGAAGTAATTACATATCAAGAAAACATCCCAGCCCAGGCCAACTCAAATGCCTAAGTCCGATCCTGGTCCATAAATCCCTCTTCAGACTCACGCAGCCACGTGCAGTGGTGCAGAATGCAGGAAGATCCCAGGCCGGTGGGTGCAGAGTCCTGTGGATCCGAGGTCAGTGGAAATGCCACAGGGCTCCCTCAGCTCTCAGGGTGGTCCACAAGCAGGAAGGTGGAGGAAGAGATAGAGTGGGGTCTCGGCCTCCAGAGAGCTATATATCTCTAACCCCCAAAGGAGATCATCAGGCCGCAACCTGATTGACAAGCTAACCTCCCACCCGTATCTTCTCACATGTACCATGTCGGCACAGAACAAACCTAACTATCAGAACCCACATGTTTCTTCAGTCCCACAGTTGCTGCACACAGTCACCGTCACCTGGTTAGTCTTCCAGGTGCACAGTCACCGGGCCCCTCCTCCTGGCATTGTGGCTGCAGGTCCCTTTCACTTAGCCTCCCTGGTCCCGGCCTCCTCAATCACAAGCGCCCCCACAGACTTCCTCTCACCCCTCTCAGGAAGGGCGCTGGCCTACCTCAAAGTGGAGTGAGCACTTCCTGGGCCCGGGAGAAGGGTTCCTACGCGAATGAGTGAAACCTTCAGAGTTGCTATTGGTAAGCTGAGGTGTTTTGCACTTTTGGAAGTCGAGGTCAAGTTCCCTCTCTGGACGGAGAGAAACCAGGAGTCCCGACAGCATGGGGGCAGCACTCTGCACGGGCGTTCTCAGCGGGGCAGCCAGCCATGGTCCCTTAGATAGGGGCATGTCACCCACACTTTGCCACAGTCTCCTGGCTACAAACTGCAAGGAGACACCTTGTCACCCACACACACAGCTGTCCCTTCTCACCACCATGTCACGAAGCAAAAGGATTATGTCACGCCGCAGATCGAGGTGGGCATAATCACAAAGAACCGGGCGGCCCCACGGAAAAGGAACCTATTTGATTGAGAGTGGGGTGAAACCCTCTCCATGTTCTGACTTAAGGGACTTCAGGGACAGCTTGATCCAGGACATACACAATGCCATCAGTCCCCATATCTATCTGTCTGTCTCTCTGCTTCTCTCTTCTCCTGCCTCCTCGCTCTCATTCAGCCTTGACTTCATTTGGGGGCAGATTTTCCCACGCAGTTGCTCTAGTGACTCCAGGATCCCATCCTCATGGTTTCTAATCCACTGGGAAGCCAGTGGGCCTCCCTCCTGGCTATTTGACACCTGCTCCATTTATATCTGTGTGTGGCCATCCTGGCCCAATCAGAGAGCCAGCAGAGCTCTGGTTGGCTAGGCTGAGTCACATGCCCGTACCCAGGGGAGGAGTTGATTCACCTGACCATGGGGACTGGAGAAGGGAGAAGGATGGTTCCCCCAAGGAAACCCCAGGTCCTGGTGCAGAAGACAGGGAAAGGGCACTTGCTGGGAACGTGTGAGTTAGATTATTAAATGTCCTTTCCTGGGACCTGGCATCAGGATAAGTGTGTGCACATTAATTTTCTTTTCCTTCCAACCAGAACGCAGGAATATGTAGGCACCACCCACCCTTCAAGCAGCCGTGTTCTAAGCCAGTTACTCACCTCCCACCAAGAGGTGACTTGCAGCCACTAAGCATGTGCTCTGTTTGAAATTGCTGTAGACCTCAGACTCAACAGAGAAGACCCCCTCGCCCCCCGAGCCGGAGCCGGAGCCCACAGCTGCAGCCCCCAGGGGCCGAGAGGGCCCCTCCAAGGAGAAGAAGGCGGCTGCCGAGCCGAACAAGCAAAAGAGCAACAAGCCAGAGGCCAAAGACGGGGCGACGAGTGCTGAACCATGCGTGGTGGAGGCCGACCCGCTGCAGAACGGAGACCAGAGAGCCGAGAGGCCGAGGCCTTCTCTCCGGGGCTTCCTGAAGGGCCTGGTAGGTGGACTTGACACCTCTTCTCCTTTCTGGGCCCTCAGGGAAGTGGGCTGGAGCTGGCCAGACTGGTGCCAAATATTTATTGAACAGCTCCTGTGTGCCTTGGTGGTGTAGCGGTTGCACTGGGGGCTGTGATCCTCCAGGTCAGCAGTTCAAAACCACCAGCTGAAGATGTTAATTCCCATAAACAGTTACAGCCCTGGAAACCAGTCCTGCCCTGCCTTAGGTTGCTATGAGTTGGTGTCAGTTCAGTGGCAGGGAGTGAGGGTTTGGTAGAGTGAGCTATGCCAGGGGTCAGAAGGCTACAACCAGCAGGCCAAAGCAGGCCTTTTGTTTGGTTTTGTTTTTAATAAAGTTTTATTGGAATACCTCCGTACTCCTTTATAGACGATCCTGGCCAGGGTTTGGCCCCAACATGGCAGAGTTGAATAGCTGCAATAGAGACCAAATGGATGAGAAACCCAACATCGTGTGCTGCCTGGCCCTTTTCAGAGAGACGGCTCTCCTGGGCTCTAGTTAGGGCTTCCGTGAGATCACATCTAAAACATTGAATAGTAGACCCAGCATGCCCTGTGTGCTCACACGATGTTCCTGGCCTCCGCTGCAGCCTCGGAGCTGAGCCAAGAGTCCAAGGACACCCAGCAAACTCCAAGAACAAAGTCCCAGCGATCAAACCCTGAAGACCACCCTGAACCCTGTGAAGGAGGGTCGTAAGGCATGGTTGGGTAATTGAAGGGAAGAAATTAGGAGACAGACCAGAGTTTAAGGGTTCTCTCTTCTGCCATGACTGCAGGACTCAGATCAGCCCAGAGAGAGAGATTATAGTTCCAACAGCAACTATGTACAAGCATGCAAACCCCGCTAATTACAAGTAACCACAGACGTAACAAAGTGGGCTGTGCCCTTCACCCTAAAGGTCCCTGAGTTCATTGGAGGAGTAACCTAACACCAGGGCTGGTGGCAGGTAAAGGGGGGGGGGGCAGGGGGGTGACTGTCTGTCTCCTGAGCCTGGAGACCAATAACACATGTCTGCTCCTATAGCTAAAGCTGCCTGCCAGATAGCAATCTGCCATGTGCTTGTAGGAGGTAGCTTTAAGGTTGCATTATATGGGAGGATAAAGTGGGGGGCAATATTAATTATGAGAATGTGACAGAGACTCATCTCTAACTCAAAAGGGTGAAGGCCTCCCTCCATCCCAGAAACCTAGCCTGCCAGGCTTCTTAAAATACGAGAATAAAGAATTCATCCACATACACTCTCTTCCCAGTCCTCTGTTTCCCACACAACCCCAGCTGCACATATATCCCCCCATTGCCTGGCCCCTTCCCGGAGAGAGGACTCAGGCAGCCATGGCCGGCCCAGCCCAACACCATCGCAATTTCTGCTAACACAGGACAGGCCAGAGCTCAGGCCTGGGCAGTGCTGCAGCACCTGGTCCTCAATGACCCCTCCTCACTCGGCTCTGTCTTCCTCCTGGGTTCTAACACAGAAGCCATGGGGTCTGAAAAGAAGTGGAAGGATGATGCCTTTAGAACTCCCCACATCTAGACATTTTACAAAAGAACACTTCACAGAACCAGAATACCAGGCCGTGTCTCCCAACATGTAAGATACCACCCCCTGGGGGGCGCTGAAACCGTCCCACCAAAACTCACTGCTATCGAGTCAAAGCTGACTCAGGAAGACCGTACAGGACAGGGTAGAACTGGCCTGTGCTTTTCTGAGACTAACTCTTTGAGGGAGTAGAAGGCCTCCTCTTTCTTCCTCAGAGCCGCTAGTGGGTTTCAAACTGCTGACCTTGTAGTTAGCAGCCCAATGCATAACCACTATGTGACCAGAGCTCCTTGTAACCCTCCAGGCAGCTGCAAAAGCAGATGCCTACACTTTATCCTGCATGTTATTCTAGGCTGTCGCACAAAAGGGTTATCATTGCCAGGGCCCCTGAGGGAGCTGAGTTTTCTTTGGTTTTTTCCCCTGAAAAGGGAGCAGTAGGCTAATCAGTTTGCACCGTACATCATGGGTGATAGTCACACAGAGGGTCTTCATGCTTTTGTCTTTTCATTCAAAGCCCCTCTTAGATCTGCCAGAGGCCAGTCAGTCAGTCAGTCTGTCTGTCTTACTATGGTGGCTTGCAGGTTTCTGTGATTCTGGAAGTGACAGTCCTCACTCAGTGTCTTAAATGCAAACAAGATCGCCTCTGGGGGGTAGATTCCAAGGGCGTGCTCACAGTGAAACTCCTTCTTGGGAAGTGTCCAGTGCTACAGGCTTTTGACCAGCCCAGAGTTGTGGCCTTGCCTTGTCGCCTTGAGCCGGAATTGATTGGATGGCAGTGGGTTTGGTTTGGGGTTCCTGTGGAAGAAGCGAGGTTAAAGGTTAAAGCTGAGGTTACAGCACACCGGCTGCTAATCAGAAGGCGGTTCAGACCTGGGGAGAAAGATAAGACCATCTGCATGTGGAAAGGTTTCCAGCCTCGGAAACGCTATCGGTCAGCTCTGCACACTCCTGCAGGGCCGCCTGCCCCGAGTTGGCATCGGCTCAACAGCAATGGCTCAAAAATCTGCACAACTGGGCCAGCACGTAACAACATGAGAGATGGAGAAGAGATTGACGTTGTCAAGGATGATATATGTCTTGCTTGGATCCACAGCCCATGCTCGTGGAAGCAACGGTCAAGAGATGAAAGGGTGTGTTGCATTTGTAAATCTACCGCACAAGAAAGACCTCGTTAAGTGTTGATAAGCAAGGCTGTCATTTTGAGGACTAAGGCGCGCCTGACCCAAGCCATGGTGTTTTCAGTCGCCTCCTATGCAGGTGAAAGTTAGACAGTGAATAAGAGAATGAAGAAGAATCAATGCAGCTGAACGATGGTGCTGATGAAGAATATTGAACTGCCAAAAAAAACAAACAGATCGTGTTGAGGAAGTGCAGGCAGGATGCTCCTTAGAGGTAAGGCCGGCCAGACTCAGGTGCTTTGGAAATGTAGTCAGGAGAGATCAATCACGGGAGAAGGGCATCATGCTTGGTCAAGTACAGAAGCAACCAAAAAGAGGAAGACCCTCAATGAGATGGACTGACAGCAGCTCCAGCGATGGGCACAAACACCAGGGCAATGATGGGGATGGCGCCGGGCCGGGCAGTGTTTCCCTCTGTTGTCCATTAGTCGGAACCACTCGATGGCACGGAACAACACTACCACCAACACGCCGCCAAGCATGAAGGCTACAGCACACGGACGTAAATTCTGGTGGGGAAAACCGATGAGAAACAGATAAGGCCAACTCAGCCAGGGGCATGCTCTGCCTGAACGTCACACCGGGTAGTGGTTAGGAGGGACTAGGCAGTGGAGAAGGGGGCTGTAATTGGGGGGTGGAGGTGGAGCTACTACATCCGGGTCGTCTCTGAACTCGTGGAAGGGACAGCTGCCCGAGAGCTGTTGTCCCCTCGCCATTGTAAAGATGAAGGGCCTGTGTTTTGTCCAAGAATTTCCCAAAGTGGGCCAGGCACCCAGGCAGGCGCTGACCAGGGTGTCCTGAATCAGACGGAACTGACTAGGGCAGGCAGGCTTCTGTGCCATAGCTCCCAGTCGATTCCTCCTTCAAATGAACAGCAGGCGCTTCCAGTGGTACGAGGCGCTGATCAGGAGCGCGCCGCAGGCCTGCGGTGCGTGAAGCCGGCCTCGGTCACCATGCTGATGGAGGCGGGACGGGCCCAGCTGTCAGACACGCGCACAAACACTAAAGGCTTGTGTGCCCTTCCACTTCAACATGGCCCAACTCTCCGTCTGTCAGGATGGCCCACGCCAGCACAGTGTAGACCCACTGGCACCGAGTCGATTCTGAGTCCTGGCCACCCTCTCTGTGTAGGGTTTCCGAGACTGTAAATCTCTACAGGAGCAGACAGCCTCCTCTTTGTCCCCCGGAACACCTGGTGGAGCTGAACCACCGTCTTTGCCGTTAGCAGCCCCGTGCCTCACTCACAGGGCCACCAGGGCTCCTTGTAGACCAGTGTCTGGCCTGCTCATCTGCAGTGTTCCTGATAGTACATGCCCGCGGTGAGTGCCAAGAGTGGGGAGGCGGCAGAGGACCCCTGCAATGTTGCATGCGGTCCTGCCGCATGCGGTCCTGCCGACATCCCCAACCCGGGCGCTGCTGTCTCATCTTAGCACCGGACCCACACGCACTACGCTGTCAGTGGCCAGCTAATTCTGAGTCACGGGGGGCGGGGGCACGTGTGCAGAGTAGCACCGAGCTCCGTGAGGCCTGCAAGGCTGTGGCCCGGGCTGTCGTGCGTCCTGGGTGGGCTCCGATGGCAAACCTTTGGGTTTGTCATTGAGCACTTTCCCATGTGCATCAGCACCCGGGGGCTGGTGCAGGACGAAAGTGCGACGCAGGTGACAGCCCTGGCGATGACACGGGCCCTTTTCCAGAGCATCCAATGGCTTTCTTTTCCTCTTGCTCTCCAGGGACCAAAGCGGATGCTGGATGCTCAAGTGCAGACAGACCCCGTGTCCATCGGACCCGTCGGCAAATCCAAGTAAACAAATTACCACCATGGTTCCCACCGGGCTCTCCTGCCATCGAGAGACCTCCTTCTCCTCCTCCTCTTCCTCCTCCTCCTCCTCCTCTGCCTCCTTCCCAGACCGGGCTGTGTCCTTACTTCTGAGTCTCCCGGCCACTGCACAGAACTCTGCCTGCCTGATAAGCACATGTGTACAGAGGTGTAGTCACTGAGGTGTATGTTGTACCGTCTCTGGCCCAACCTCGCCTGGTCAGTCACTGTAAAGATGGTCCCACAGGTTAGCTAGTGGGATGAGAAGAGCGGTGCGTGCCAGACGGGAGGGGGGCGCGGAGCAGGCCGATTACATTTTGAAAACCAGCAGGAGCAGGCGTTGCCGTCAGCCTCCTGGAAGGAATTGGGCTTTGTGGCGAATACTTGCTCGTCGTCTGGGCCTGGATCGGGGAGAATAGACTCTCGAGTCTGAGAGAGGACTTGGGCTCTGAGTTGGGGTGCTGTCAGCTCCCTGGAAGGGTATACGGGGGAAGGGGTGTCTCACGGAGGGGTAAATGAGAAGTCTTTCATCGGATGGGGCCCGTGAATGTTATTGATAAGAGGGACATTGTGGCTTAGAGAGGGCTTAAAATGATTAGGGAAAACAATTGTTTGGGGTTTTTTTTTGAGGTTCAGTGACAAGGATTACAAGTTCACCCCCCAAAAAAATGTAAGGGAAAGTTGCACATTTCGTTTGCAGCCACCCGGGGGCGCCCGGGCCTCCTTTTCGATCCGGCCTCCCTTCTCACTAACAAAGATTGGGGTCTTCGCAGTCTTACAAGATTAATGTTTCTCATATGGCTGAGAGGCTTTGCTTCATCTGTTCTGTCTGACACTTCGCTCAAGTTTGTCTGTAACCCCCTAATGTTCTCAGGATGTGCTCTGATAAAACCCTCCCCATAACCCCACTTAATAAAAAAGTTACAAAAGATCATTCAAATACTTGAGGTTATTTTTTTCGTTAAAAACCTGTACAGTGGGATCAGTGGGACCAGAAGCCTATTATACTATAACTCAAAGCAGGTATGATGGATTGATAGTCACAGACACTATACTTTTGTTTTTCCGATTTAATAAAAAAAATCTGTGCACATACATACCTTTACTTCTAAAGAATCGTTTACTTTTCAAGTCTGAAGCAGGCCTCTCACACACTGTGTCTGAGATGCCCTTAACGCTCACAGAACGGAATCAATGCCCTTCTTTCTCGCCTTCTTCCCAAACCACACTCCTAGATCTCCCTGTCACGCCCCGTCAGCGAGTCAGTTCCCACCCACGGCGGCCCAATAGGACAGGGTAGACCCCTTGGGTTTCCTAGGCTGTCAGTCTTTTCGAGAGCAGAAAGCCTCGTCTTTCTCTCAAAAAATGGCTGGTGAGTTTGAACTGCTAACCTTGTGGTTGGCAGTTCCACTGGAAACCCCTCTCATTACTCCACCAAGAGGTCCCGGGGGAAAACGTACATAGATATACACACACACACACACACACACACAGAGCACAGAATGCCACGAAGTCCGTTCTGACAAAGAGCTACCCTGCAGGGCATAGTAAAACTGCCCTGCGGTTTCCTGAGACTGTGACTCTTTACAGGAGTGGAAAAACTCATCTTTCCCGAGGTATAGCTGGTGGTTTTGAACTGCTGACCCAGCAGTTCACAGCCCAACATGTAACCACTGCTGCCAGGGCCCCTGAAACAGTACACATACAAGTGCCTAGCGCAGCACCTGAGATGTTGGGGGGCCTGTGATACATTGAGAAAGGGGTCCTGAGAGGAGAAATCAAGGGAACTGAGCAAAGCTGAGGGGCATCCCATGGGGCTTAGGGGCAGGGCTGGCACCATAGAGACCAGCACCCCCTCTTGGGGAGCCAGGGGGTTCCCTGGGAGACAGGTAGGATCTAGCCTCCTGGCAGCCTGCTCCCATTGAGCTGAGAAGTGGAGGCAAGCTGGCACCCCTCATCGGTAGGGCCCAGTACAGCAATATACCTGTGGGCTAGTATCTGCTTCATAGCCCTGGGTGCTGGATGCACACATGCACAAGTATACTATGCAGTCTGCATAGGCTCACGGGGACCCACACGGGCACAGACGCGTGTTCAAACACAGGTGGACCCAGGCACTCCCTTCAGCGCTGCTACCCCTCCTGCCTGGCCCATCCAGGCCTGGATCTACAGCCCCAACAGGACCGGGGCCTGGAGGACAAGAGTCTGCCAATCCAACCCAGAGCGGGGCTGGCCCTTGGCGGCTGGTGCTGGCGCATGTCCCAATCAAGTAGCGACTGGGGATAGCTTCACCTGGAGGGGATGCCCCTTGGAGAAGCCTTGTGGCTTCACCTTCAACATTTAAGAGCACACAGGAGTTC